GACGAAATTTTGATTCTAAACATTTTTTCGTAGTGTGCTTATTTTTCGAGTTATTTGGCTGCCTAAGTTAAAATGGGTCACCCTGTATATATATACACAGGGTGTCTCACACTCTCCTACGGGCATTTTGTGGGAACGTAGAACAGGTTGCGGTGAACATAAAAGTTCTATACCGTTTTGCGATATTCGTAATAATTATCGAGATATTAATTGTAGAAAGTTTGTAAATGATCATGCAGAATATGGTAAATGAGTTATAGTAGCGACGACTGCCGTCGTGTACTTATACTTTAGGTCAAATTGAACAAAAAAGTCCTCTACCATTTTGCAAATAATCACATAGATTTTTAATTATTAATTAAAGGAGATTATTGTATGATTTTACGTAATAATGCACTCATCTTCTTTAATTAATAATAAAAAATCTATGTGATTATTTGGAAAATGATAGAGGACTTTTTTGTTCAATTTGTCCTAAAGTATAAGTACACGACGGCAGTCGTCGCTACTCTAACTCATTTATCATATTCTGCATGATCATTTACAAATTTTCTACAATTAATATCTCGATAATTATTGCGAATATCGCAAAACGATACAGGACTTTTATGTTCACCGCAGCCTGTTCTACGTTCCCATAAAATGCCCGGAGAAGAGTGTGAAACACATATATATGTTTATGTGTATGTGAATGTGTGTGTGTGTGTGCATTTTTATATCCATACCAAATAGCTGCCGCAATAATAGATACGAATGATATCGTATTTATTGATATATCCAGGTATTTCGTTGAAACTTAATATATAATATATTAGCAACGAATACGGGTCGGCAAACCGCATGTTGAACATGAGGGTGGAATGTATTTCCCTCTCAAAAATCAATAAATGTTTCTCTTGATTTTTGTATAAGTCCTCCGCCAGTTTCAATACCATAGTTGCCTGAGAAAAGAAAGTATACCGCGAGAAATTGTTTAATCCCGTTACATATTCGACAAATCAATTGATTAAAACTACAATACAACTAGTCTAATCGCGATAATTTATTATACGTGTATATTTTTTGCTTTTTAAGACCGAGAAATTGGGTTACCGTTGGTACTTTATAACTAGGTAATTCTCTTTTAAGAATTATCCAAAAGCATGCTAAAGCCATTAATTGTATTTGCTCCGTGTTTATCAAAATTCTATCAACAGCGAGGTCAAATAACTTGACAGTTTGATAAATTATAGTTGAATCGTAGTTATGACGCATCTGAAAATTATCACAGTTATTAAAGTATATATTCTCGACTTGCGAGAGAGAAAGAAAGAGAGAGAGAGAGAGAGAGAGAGAGAGAGAGAGAGAGAGAGAAAGAAGAAGTCTAAAATATCTTATATCAACTTGTTACATTTTTTCCTTTTAACAAGCTTCGATAGTACTTTTGTGTTGAACATTATATGTTCAAATGCGTAATTATTATATATCTAACATGCGCACACTTCACACTTCTTCCTTTTAAAAAAGGAATTCAAGCGTTAAGCTACTTTATTCTATGTTAAACTTACACCAAGATCAATCAAATACTCTACGATGATATTTCTTTGTTCAGAGTTAATATTTTTGCACAGAAAAGAGGCAGAAAGTTTTGGAGCACGTTCTTACCTCTCGCGTTCTTTATCTGGCATAATTTTCAAATCACAATTTTCGTCTAACATAAATGTCATTATCATTTGGCCAATATTTTTAAAATCTTCCTCCTTGGTCCAAAACTGATTTGTCGCTTTGTCTTGCTTATAACACACCTTCATGAAAGACATAAATGTTACTTCAAACATTGTAACACATAGATAATTGAACAATTTAGTCTACTCTTGTTTCATTAATATAAAAATTTTTGTATAAAAATACATACAATTATCTATAAATTTTAAAAAGTTGCATATTTAATTGAATATATAAAATTAACGGCCAGTCAGTACATTGGAGACAACACATTGAATCGATAATACAACTGTTTCATCACTTATAGGAATTTGTCTTCCCTACCTTTACTGAAGACGTTAGTCCAGTTGAACTATTTAAAGATGTTGTACAGTTTGAATTTATTTCCTCCGTAAATCGTCGATTGTTGTCTTGACTAGGCGACCTAAAAATATGTTTGCGATAATCTGAACCAGGCAAGTATGTTTCATTAGTAAAAAAATTCAGTTCGATTCTTGAGTTAAGATTTTAGCTTTATATGTTTTCAATACAAATAAATTATCCATCAACCAAATAATCGCCACCATTGTCCACAGCCTTCTGTTGACGTTCATAGTTAACAGTAAAACATTATCAGCAAGTTGTTACCTGCATACGCGTCCTCAATTATTGAAAACTTAACCGAATTTTTTAACTCCTTCAATATCTTATCATAATTCTTAATAGTGTAAGGACGATCGTCATTACTCGATAAATGCCAAACAACAGTAAGTCTACATCAATGTTCTAGTTTCTTACTCAACAATATAAGCGCAATGTAAAACATATTGTATGTAATAGTTACATTTCGTTCGTAGAAAAATTATAACATTAATTAAATATTAATGTAATAAATTAATTTGAATTGTAATTTATTGATGTGTATTAATGTAATATTAATGTAAAGTATAATATTAAATATAATTATAATATGATTATTATAAAATAATATAATTTTATAATATAATTATTATAAAATTATAAATATGATGTAATATTATGTAATATTACTATATTACTTTTGGTGTTTACTGATTAATCTCTACGGCTGATAACACTGACAACAGAACAATTTCTATTTACTACTTCTTGTTTATAATTTTCATTTATAGTTTACCTCACTCCAATGTCTATAGTATTGAATTCATCCGCCTTCGTAACAGCCAATGTAGTTAAAGGATTCTTAGGCACACTGTCAACTAAAAAGATATACATGTGAAAGTCCTCGTAAGTTTTAATGTCTATTACAATTTCTCGTAAGATACTAACTGCGAAAGTGTGTCATCTTGTTCTTCCATATTTTAAAGTTGCACAATGTGAGTTTATTCATGTCGTTAGACAGATTCCTAATCTCTGGAGATTCTGATGGTAGCACAATCATTGGATGCAATGTAACTGGTACATGCAAAGATTTGTCTTCGGAATAATTTCTGAAGACGACCGATTAATGATCAATTAATATATAATACTTTTTTTTACTTTAGATTTATCCTACATAGGTTTGTCATTGGATTTTTAAAAGTAATTCTGTATAGATAGATTATACTCTACAGTAGAGATAATACACAAAAAAGAATAAAAATAAATACATAAAAAAGAATTTTAAAAGTATTAAAAAAGCATTAAATATGACGTTTAAGTTAATAATGATAAAAAATATCGAATCTTAATAACCTGTCACATTTTAAAAATATTGAAAATATTCGATTAGTTCTTAATTTTAACGTAATTATAATAGTATGCAGCAAAAATTATTAATAATAATATTTTATATTGTGTATATACAGTTATCTCCGAAATAATTTGCCAGCCAAGTATATAGAGTTATCTCCGAAATAATTTGCCAGCCAATTTGTTATCTATATTAGAATGAATTCTGCTTTGGTCACTTAAAGAACGAATTCTGTTACAAAGAGTAATAAATCTTTTAATTAAAATTATGCCCGATTCAAAGAAAATTATAACTTATTAACAAAATATATCTTTTATCTTTTACTTCTTTATAATAATTCGGAATTCAACCTTATATTTCAAATTGTTTTAAGTTTATCTTCAAATGTTTCGTAGTCAATGAAATAATGCATATAATAACAAATTTATCTGAAAATAAACTTAAGATGATCTTAAATAAAAAATTTGACTATGAATACTATTCCAAGTCTTTTATCAAAATTAGTGAAATATATTTTCAAACTTTCTCCCGTTAGGAATGCGAATTAAAGATACGACAACAATGTAAAGTGTTAAGTTTTTTTGACATATGATTTTCAGGAAATTTGTCGAGACGTGTCATACCTCTGTGAAACAACGAGGAAATGAGTAGTCTCTTCTTTTTTGAGCGCCTTTATATGATCCTTTGGTGCATCCTGGATTTTATCTTCAGTTGTTTTTTCTTTTCTGCGCGCACCTTTCCGCGTGAGCGAAGATGATCTTTCGTTTTCGTTATCGTCGCGGTAAACTTGAGGTTTATTATTACGGAGGCGAGATTTAATTTCTCCATACGCCAAATTTTGTGTAGCGCGATCTATATTACTTTCCTGACTTTTTATATCCGTCAATCCTTTCTTTATCTTCACACCACTTTTACCTTCATTGCACTTGGTATGCTCGTATTGACTCGAACATGCATTTTCTTCATCTTTAAGTGATACATTCTCCGACATGGCTTTACATTCATAAATGCATAGAAAACAATTTATAATCAATTAATATATTTGATATATTTATAATTAATTAACACATAATTAATATATTTGATATATTTATAATCAATTAACGTATATGATATATTGCTTTTATACACACACATATACATATGTGTAAATACCGAACACATAAATATTAGAAATATTATTTAAGTATTTTTATACAAATATATAGTGTTTAATATAAATATAAACAACACACATATAGTATAAGTGTCAATTATTAACCTGATGATGGGAAGAATTACAAATCTCTCTCTCTCCAGAAAAGATATAAATTAATGTTTTAACGATAAATGTCGTAAGACGCGATTTGGACCCAAGTTCTTTGTTCCTCTAACCAGACTCAACTAAGCTAACAAGAACTTCGGCATATAAACCTCCTATATAGAATTCAAAAAAAAATGTTTGCTTAACGATGTTCCTACAGATATGACTTATTCGCTCTACGAATCCACGCAATGCTGAGGTTAAGTTTACAAACACAACAGTTAGAGAGACAGAGAGAGAGGAAGAGAAGATTTGAAATACGAAATAACGTATTTGCTATTTATATCAGATCGTAAAATGGGCTGTGTAAAACAATAGCATATAATCAATATTAAACAACTAAGAGATCCGTCGAGTTTTATTAAACAAAAATATAATAACGCAACATTCCACTTACATGTTTATTTCTTTTTATTAATCGTTAATTGCTTCCGTTTCAGAAAACACTTGTAGACAACGTGTTCTAAGATCTGGACAACGCAGCTGACGAACAATGCTGCGATCATGAGAAGTATTAGCGGTACTATATCGCCGATCTCGACCGACTTCCATGATGATTTTCTCTGTAATTAACGACGGATTTACATTCAAACATCATTCAAACAATTCTCAAGTACGATAAATGAGTAAATCAAGAAGTTCTCCACCATTTTGTTATTTATAAGATGGTAGGGAAATTTGTATTCATCTTATATGTACATGGGACATTTTATGTCAGGTACTCTGCCAATATATATAATATATGGCGTATAATTATAACAAAACTATCAAAAAATAAACGACGTACTTGCTTAACCATGTTCCTACAGACACGATTTATTCGCTCCATCAATCCACATAATGCTAAGATTAAGTTTACAAACAACAGTTAGAGAGACAGAGAGAGACAGAAATATGGAAGATCTGAGAAGATCTGAGAAGAAACAGAAAAGATTTGAAATATGGAATAACGTATTTGCTACTTCGCGCAACTCAAATGGTTACCTAAACTGATTTACTTATTAATTTCGATTATTTATAACAAATACTAATACTGATTACAGATATCTTGATAACAATGAACTTTAAGATAGATAGATAGGTATAGAGAGAAAAGATATGTTTCGTTTAAATTAATTATTATAATCAATCAAGCTAGTAAAAGCATACTTACTTCAGTTATCTGAACCGACCATTGCGTTTGCAGCAAGCGCTGCAGGATTCCACTATCTCTTAGCAGAAGAAGACTGCAACAAAGTAGAACGCTTTTACTACAGGAACATACAATGTTTCGCGTCTAAATCACATTAATTTAAACGCACTTCGCATTAATAATACCACGATACGGGCTATTGGGTCGCACAGCCATCGCTACGGTAATGTGCGTGATGACATCTAATGGCTCCAATTTGCAATCGACTCTCTCCTGTAATATCGCTGCCATGTTGTCCAGCGTCATAAAAGCGTACTTATCTTCCTTGCAAACACGTTTTAAACCGTCCATATAGTTTCTCGGTAAATCAGTCTCTTTCATTAACAACTCGTCAAACAGCACGCGAAGTATCTTGTCTGATGTGTTCTGTCGTAAAAAGATTATTATAAGTCCTTGTAGTGTCGTACGCGAAATCTCTTACAAAGGTGGACTTTATATCATTAGCAATTATTTAGATAAATCTTGAATTTTCAACGTAAATCAGAATCAAAAACATTGATATTTCCGTCGTGATATGATTTCACGTGATATTGCTACTTTTTATTTGTTTGAAAATTGAGAGCATATTCATAATTGATGATAAAGCGGGCAACATCTTATATCAAGCGAATGATATACACGTTTCCCGTTCGTTTCTTGAATTTATCGCAAGAACGATTTGAAAATGTTATGAGTACCTGGAAGAAACTAAAATCAGCTGAATCACCAACCACGCCGAAACGATAGGTTCCATCTTTTAAAAGACCGCTCATAGTCGTGAAAGGCATAACGAATGTGTTCACGGCGAGAAAACTGATCAAGGAAGCGGAATAGGCGGCTAAGATTACGACGGCTGTTATGTGAATTACGAAATGCATCATCCTCACAGGGTCCAGAGTAGACGGCTCCATACCTGATGGTATTGTAGCAATAGAGAACAATTAGACATTGTGAAACCACCGCCTAGTGAGAAGAAGATGGCACGAGCAAATCAGAATTACCTTGACTACAAAATGCTCCTATGACGTAAAACAGAATCTCTGTAAATCTGGTCGAAGGACAGTCGTCGTTTGACAGATGCAGCAATGCGAAAGAGAACAATTTTTGTATAAATACGATTGATACGCTCATAATTATTATGAAGATAGCTATGACTTTCCAGGTGTCCGTTGAGAACGGTGCCATGTAAGCGTCCCACTTGACATTCGTGGATGCCGGCCTCTTAATGTATGTACGACATCTTTAACAGATTCATATGCATAATATTTATCATGAATTCCATCTGTACACGAGAGGAAAGAAAAGAAAGACTGATTCAGCTGCGATAAATAGATAACAGACACGATGAGATGAGCAATGAAATGAAATAAATTGAGATAATAGAAATATACTACTTTGTTGTGTAAATTGGTGTCGTGAAACTAATGACATCTAATCTGTCCGAAGTCATCATGAATTCTGTCGCTGCGAAGTCGACCTCGTTGTTCATCAACATCCCGACTGCGCCCGTGCATAAGCCGTTTGGTAGACACATGCCCCACGAGTTGGCCTCCTTGTAAGTGAATCTAAACAAGTTCAACGCAAATTCTTTTTCGAACAACTGCGCATTTCGTCACAACTTTGCCTAGAAAGTGAAATCGGTTAATTTCAGATAACATTAACTATAGGTCTGCTCTTTTTAGCTGAACTGTCTGAATGATGCAATAAGTTAGAGTGAGACAAAGATATTTTATTATTTCTTTTTTAATAAAGAGAATTTCATAGCGTAAGTTGTCAAAATCAATATTAAAAACCATGGTTGAAATTATGCCAAAATTATTAGTTTCATTATTCAGATAGTATGTATTAACAAATTTCAATTCAATAATTTGAACGAGAATGGAGGGTGAAGGATACAGGATGAAGAAGCGGTGACCAACGTTATGCTGCGCATTCTTGCTGCTAGATGCATCAAATTGAAGAGATTAGGGACGACGATGTAACCTCTCTTAATTAACGATACCGCAGAAAATTATTTCTTATTATAATTTATATATATATATATATATATATATATATATATCATACCGAAATTATATATATAATTTAGATATCGCTCGCCACGCAACTTGAGGACTTATGCGGAAAGACGACGAAGAACCGGCGATGGTCGAAAAAGGGACATCTTCGAGGAAAGGGGCGCCGCCAGCGAGGAAGAATATTTTCGTAAGGAAACCGCCAGGCAACTAAAGGAACTCAGAGAGCAGCAAGCGCGCCGTAAAGCAGAAAAGAAAAATCAAGTATTAGAGGATATAAATGGGGTAGCAATGGAGAACAGAGTTCAGGAGAGATGCAATCGAAAAAAAAATACTTCAAAATGTTCTAACAAGTGTTCTGACAAAAAAGTAACAAGATATGAAAAGGAATAAAATTTGGAATGCAACATATTAATCGCAAGAATTATTAAGGTCTGATGGATTATATATGAAAATTATTGTAAATGCATTAAATCAAATATAATAATGCCAATTTGATCAAAATTAAACGTACTTATAACAAAGATAAAACCGTTTATTTGTAACGAAATAAAATTGCATTGCTTTCGCTTCACGCGACATACTCTTTCCTCGTTCTTTATACTCACGTGCAATTCATTGCTTCTTGTAATAACAGAATCACCTCCCCGAAAAAGCCACTTATTCTGGTTATCTCGTTGCGATTGTCATGGTGAAACAGACTGATAGGAGGATCCTGTCAAACATAAATGGGTTTGTGCTGCATATCGAGCTCGTTGCCTTCCAGATTCGATTAATAATTAATCCAGATAATAATTAATCTTTTTCTCAATTAAGATATTAATACGGAAAGGTGTTGAGAATTTGGAAAAGATAATACAAACGAAGTTGAAAAAATACGCTATCAAATCATAACTGAAAGAAGGATAATAAAGAATCGATCGAGAGATCCTCTAGAAACTTATTGACTGTTATACTAACTTTATCGTTAATTTAATATATATCATATAATATGATTCAATTATCTTCTCTATTTAGTAAGTTATTTAATTGTGCTACTTGATTTTGCGACAAATAAAACGTAGTAAACTTACGCGAACCGACGTGACGCGTATATTCTGGCCGTAAAGATCGTTTCTTCGTAAAAATAGGCCGCGTGTTGGTCCTTTCAGACCTTTCCTCCTGTTCCATACACCGAACTGATTCGATCTCAGTTCTTTATCTCGGTCAATTTGATAAACTTCAGTGATGATCTCCCTGTCGTCAACATTCGCGCTGCTTTGAGCCACCATAAACTTACAATCAAAGGGGATGTAAATGTTAAAGAAAAATTCTGCAAGTTCGGTCGCGTTATCGAAGAAGATCAACCAGGTGGGATAAGACATCGTGATCCACGTTGAAACCTGCTGCATTTCGATAAATAAACATTTACGCCGTCTCTTCGCCTCACGTTTCTCGAATTTTCATGTTTTATAAATACAGCAAATTGCGATTAAAGTCTTCTTTGAGAAACTTTAATGTGAAAGAGCACGCAAATGTAAATTTTATCCTATTAATTATCTATCTGACTCGCGAATATAATTATTATGTTGAGAATTTGGTAAAAGCATAGAAAGAAATGTTTTTATTTGTACAAGCTTTAAAGGAATTTGGATAAATTTCGTTAAATATAGATATTGTTTAAAAGCTGCAGTATGAGTATAAAAATCTGTTAAAAACTTATAAAAATTATTGTACTTGTGCTACTAATGGCTATTTTCATCAACGATTTTGTAATTGAGCGTTTTTGAAGTTGCTAAGATATAATTACACTCATAAATTCAGTCCTCGTATCTTCGTGGTTGTTTAGTAAGACGAACAAAGGTCTCTTGATGTGATGGTAACTGTACCCAATCTGCAAACAATCGAATATTTTCTTTCTCGGTAAAAGATAACGAGGTGTCTGATTTTTCGTTGGAGCGGGTGCTAGCGAAAATTAGCTGTGAGAAAGAGAAAATGAGAGAGAGAGAGAGAGAGAGAGAGAGAGAGATTCTTAGGAATATTTAATTATAATTAAAAAATTAATTGTAAATTAATTTTTTAAATAAATATTTATTTTATATTTCGACGTGTTCGTTCTATTGATATAAGGATAGATATAGAAAATAGAGAGGAACACATTGTTGGCACTCACTCGGCTATTAAACGTACGAAAATCCATAAACACAGCGCGTATGTGAAATTTCAAGCTCAGATATTTCTGGAGACGCAGCAGATCATCGCCTTCCGTGAGTCCTGCGAAATTAACCGACAGATAAAAGGCGATTTTCCTGATCGATAATTCGTAAATTTCCTCCTCCCTCAAATCGTACTCACCTTGCGTCTCGATGGGATTCGGATTAGTGTGTAGCAGTATGATACACGTGTTATTGAAGTAATCGCGTATGTCTTTGATCAGACCCTCGTACACGTGGATCGGCCTGATCAATTGGCATCGTGCAAATTCGAACATCATCGTCGTCACCCACGCGAGAACGATCAGATCGCACTTTCGCCGGAACATACTTCGCTACGTGATCGCACCGTATAAATAAACGATCATTGACAGTAGCAATTTGGCCAGTTTCACGAGCCAGTTTTCTCTGATTTCTATCGTGATGAATCGTCGCGTTTCCAGATCCGCTGCATTTTGCTATTGCATTCTCGTATACGACAGTTGTCTAGTTGATCAGAGCACAACAAAGTTTCATTGGATACGTTTCGTCGACAACGCGGAAATGCTCCTCTCCCGACTCGCGTATGGATTGACGATATAAAAGTCGTACACGATCGTGTCGACGACGACTACCAGCTCCGTTGTAAGTCAAGTGAACGTTGTCTAAAGAAATTACGCAATTGCGCTCACGCGAGGATCACTCGAATGCCGAGAACAAATTCAAATCCCAAGTAAATGCGATCGCGTATCGATTCCGTGAGTTTCAAATAAGTTATGCGTTTGCTCGGCGTCGACGTATGTTTGCTAGGCCGTTTGTGCAAACCGATTCAACTCGTTCCTCAAACAATTCTCTGTATACTGTTCGAACAGTGACTTTGAAATATTGTTTAATAATGATTCGCGTGACACAACTTTGCTGATAGAGATTTAAAGAAACTAAACGATTTGTATGCAATGGTCGGCGGTTCTCTTTGTGCAAACATTATCAGTTGCTATTTAAACCATTCGTTATTTGACAGTCACGTTGACATCGAAATTTAGTTATTAATTGTGTGATGCAGATAACAGCTTAACACGGATTACGAGGAATTCCCGTACTGAGTGAAAAAAATAGAAGTATAGAATTGTAGACACACGATGAGACCCAGAAACCATAAAACAGATGACTATCAGCAGATTACCGATTGGTATCCAATTATAGTAAAGCAAATGTTCGATCGAGCGATGGTTAACGCGACTGCGCCTGGCGATGGCAAATTGAATTGAGATTTAATCAGCGGAAAACATCTGTATGATTCGCTCGGGGGAGTGCAAATTATAACATTTGTAAACGCTAACGAGTGTCTGTGTATTATTTTATAATAATACGAGTATCATGTGACCGTCGTGTTTTTTTTTATTAGATATTTAAAGCTTTTTTATTATTAGAAAAAACTAGCAAGGCGCACACTAATGATAAAAGACTGTCACTTTTATGTATTTTTAATATTACTACTGTCCTTCATTTAATATTGCTTTATGCGAATGCGAACGCTTTAAGCGAAACAACTGAAGTGAATTTAAAAAGTAAACCGGAGTAAGTAAATTTTATTCAACGAGTTTATATACATATTGCATCTATCATAATAATCAAATAATATCACATGCATGCCGCTGGCGGTAACAGTAATGCGTTTTCGATAATATCGCACATAGCCGACCCGCATCTAATGGTGACACAAGCCGTTATAAATGATTCAGTAAATTATGGAAAACCGACTTTCTTATTCGCATTATTTACTTTTCTGGAAATTAACTAATATGTCAATTGTGTCATGTACAACAATCACGCTCGTTGGATAACAATTCGAACGTCAGCGAAAGAGTGCAAAAACAACGAACGATAGTTTGTTAGTTTCGTAAACAAGTAATCGCGAGCGACATTTTGCTTATTTTAAGAAGTCGTTACGTGACGTTTCTGTACGACAAGATAAAAGAAAGGATAGTGTTAATTCGAAAGGCAAGTTGTGAGATATTCGCATTAAACCTACCAGGCTCGAAGTTTGCCGTTTATCTGTCCTAATTAAGTTTCTTAATAACGACAATAAATTTCCAAATTTATTAGACTGAGCTGTACGTAAATCACTCATATGCCCCACTTTAACATTTTTCTCTTGGAAGATGTCCTTTACAGTCAGAGGCGAAAACAATAACAGTGGGTACCATCGATGACGCGAAATTTCCGGTCTCTCTCTCTCTCTCTCTCTCTCTCTCTCTGTCTAGCCAAGTTTATTATAAATAAAATTTACGACTCATATATATTCCATAATAATGAACTTCTCGCGTGGACTCACTTGCACACGCGATTCGGTATTTATACGCACCTATTCGACGATAACAAAATGTACGCGTGTTACAAAATATATAAGAACAGCATATTGTAAGAGCATATCCATCAATCATTTCTCTAGTAGTCTTGAGAAGCATCAAATTATGAATACTTGCTTATTTTTGCCGCTCTAAATATTTGTGAATACCCCCCAGCATGTTCAAATATTATAATTGAACGAACATTGAATATTCTATCTGTTAAAGTAAAAGTATATAGTACATATGAGATGAAATAATAGTCAATTAAATCTACTTGCCGGTTACAAAATTCTATTTTTTTTGTTGTAAAATTCTATAGTAATTTTTATTAAAATTCTCTGTGTATGGAAGCGATATTTTGGATATTTTTGCCGCTTAGTAGTTCGAATTTTATGTCGAATTTTCGAGCTCATCCCCATTAACCTCTTTGCTAACAGGACATATTCTCTCTCTCTTTCTACCATCATTTAAATAACCTTTTTCAATTAAATAAACAGCTTTTTGGCATTCAGAACACATTAGCTATCATTTTATTTATTACTCTTCTCCCCATTGAGACAAATATACCCTTCCAAAAAAATCCAGCCCTATCTCTTTGGCGCTAAATATGAAACTTTTTTTGTTACTTACATATTAACGTATTTAATAAATTGGTAGGGAAAAAAGATTGTATCTTTGAAAAACAAAATTAGTAGCGAAAGAGTTAAATCATATTTTTCCATAAAAATGTAAAAAGAAAACCCGGAAAAGTCGACTGTTACGTCACGTAAAAATTTAACGATGTCACAGTGGAAGGTGAATTGGCCGTGAACATATCGTCACGGACACCGAGCATTTTACCATACAGAATTAGTGACCGCGATAACGAGTCTGACGATACGAGTACGGTAATATGCCTCAGTGCGTTGTTCATGAAAAGTTTGTGTCGACGATATTATTATTAGTTCCGCTAATGTCGTTTTATGAATCGTTGGTACGCGCCTCAAAAGCGCGCGAATCGAAAATATTCGTGATTATTTGCTTGCAATGAAGAAAATTACGCGAGAATCGTTACGAATTACACAATAAGAAGAACAAAATAAATCTTCGAATCGTCGACTCGAGCACGAATGCAGTTGTATATAATTAGCGAGCGGAACATTAACTCGATCGAATCAGACAAGTGTCTACTCCGGACATCATTTGCCACCTTTATCGCGCACAAATCCGGTAGCAATTTACACCAGCTAAGATGTCAGGCTGTCAAAAAGTTGTAGCCGGCTAATTATTCTTGTCGAAGCATCGACCAAGAGGGCATAATAAAAAGAAGTGCGACGCGGTGGCAAACTGGCTCGTAAGAAAAAATCGCGTCGAGGCAGGAGACGAGACAAAACCTTAACAGCGAAATTCGATACCCAACAAGAACCAACAACTAACAAAATGAAGCTGCCACTTCTCGTCTTCTCCTTGATCGTAGTATATTGGACCTGCATAAGCTATGCTGACGAAGACATCAATTCGACGAGAGATCTAATAAGTAAGTTTTAACAGATTTCTTTTAACAAATAAGCATGGAAATAGTAACAATCTTCATAGAAAATTGACAATAATATTTGTGTTGCGATTCATGTGCTTACGATCGAGTTCTTATTAAAGTATTACTTATAGATTTGGACGAGGA